TGGGTAATTGGTTAGGATGAGTTTGTAAATTAGATCGTCGATCCAAACTGTATTGAAAGCTTTTTTGAGGTCTAGGGATAGTAGGGCAGTGTGGATACGTGTGTTGAGTTTGTGTATTTTGTCGTTGATTATGCGTGAAATTTGATGTGTGGTTGAGTGTTGCTGTTGAAACCCGAATTGGTTTGTGGGAATGGTGTTATGATCGTATGCATGATTGGTGAGTAGTTCGAAAATAATTTTCTCTATTACTTTGGAGATAGAAGGTAAGAGGGATATGGGTCTGTAGCTGGAGGGGACGGTGAGTTCTTTATTAGGTTTCGGGATGGGGATTTTAATCGCTGTTTTCCAGGCGTTAGGGTAATGTTGGAAATTGAGGATGTGGCGGGCGACGTATGTTAGTTGAACATAGTTTTTTTTGAGGAGGTATTGAAGAAGAATGTGGGGATACCGTCGTTTCCTGAGGCTTTGAACGGTTTGAGTCGTTTGATGATGGATTTGAGTGTGGAGGCAGTGATGTGGTGGAGGTCTGACGGCGGAGCGTGATTTTGGAGAAGGAATGTTGTGTAATTTCGTGGTGTTGTGTTGGGTTTTGCCTTGTGGATGTTACAGAAATATGTGGCTAGGAGATTTGCTTTAGTAGGGTTTGTTATTTTGTAAGAGTTGTGTGAAGAGAGGTTTGAGTTTGCGGATTTTCTGCCCGATGGAATTGTCATTGGGGGAGAGGGATTGCAGTTTAGGGGACCATGTGGTATTTCTGTGTAGTATTAGTTTGGAGCGGATTTGTTTATTGAGGGAGTTGAATTGCGTTGTTGTGTCTGGGTTGTGTGTGCATTTTGGAGGCGCCGGAGGCGATTACGGTTTTTAATTAGGGCGGCGATATGTGGGGCTGTTGGTGTGCGATGTAGAGTTCTTTTGGTGATAAGGGGAATGGCGGCGTTTTTAGCAGTTTGAATTGCGGAGGTCAGGATGTCGATTTCATGCTCGAGTTGTTGGATGGAATCTATTGTGGGGGTTGTTTGAATGGAATGGTTAACTATTTCTTTGCCAGTTTGCGGATCTGAAGTTTAATATTTTGATGGATTGTTGTAAGGAAGTAAGATGTCCTATTTTAATAAGAATAGGGCAGTGATCGGAGAAAAGGTCGTTGAGAACGAAAGGTTCAGGCAGGTCGGGGATATTTTTAGCTATTGCTATGTCGATTGTTGTGTGGGTGGATCCGTTATATGGGTGATGGGTTGGTTTACTTGGCGCAAGAACAAAAGCATTTCAACAAGGTTTTCAAACAAAAGTTATTTGACGACAAGGTTTTATAACCTCTTTGTCAAGTTTGACGTACAATTTCACAGCCAACTACTGAATTTTCGCTTATTTTAAGTAACATTACGAAATACGTGTCTTTAGTTATTTCAGTTTTTTATGAAAAAGACTAAGTTTTTTAAAAAATAATAAGAGTAAGAAACGTTTTAGAATTAAATTCTACATGAAATGAAATAGTAATGTATTAAATCCGCCAAAAGGTCAAAAAATCTGTCCAAATTTAGGGTACCATCACCCTGAATCAACCCTTTGAAATGTCTCGATTGGTTTCAACTTGCTACTAATCAATACCCTCGGTCATACTCATAATGTATGCCAAATTTGGTTTTTCTAGCTTAATGTATTACGAAAATATTCAATGTTTTAAAAATTTAAGATCCAACTTTGAAAGCCTATAGCTCCTCAGGGGTACAACGTAGTATAGATAAGTTGCGTTAAATCATCTTAATTTATTGTCGTCTACATGTCTCTGCTCTGTGTCGGTTCTTATGTGAAAAACCCTGTATTCTATATTATATTTTTGTTTTAATATTAAATATGAATACAAAAAATAAAATACAGTTATGTTCTTATTTATCTAAACTGTTCTTTCTTCGAGCGAACTGTTCTTATTTGAATTTTCTGCGGGTTGGTCCATTATTTCCGATTCTTCGGTTTCATAGTCGATATCTGTTGTTACCAGGATCGTTGACAGGAATGAAAGAGTGGTGTAATATTCAACAATAAGAATATATTTGCTGTAGTTTACAGATGGAATATAATAATAATCGGGAGTAGGTGGGCGTGGCCGGCCGGTCAGCGTCCAAAGGCGGTATTATGGGTGCCACTGTTTCTGTTTCGGATTCTGATAAAAAGTGAAATGGAGCAAATGGAGGTGATGTTCTTTCGCCTATATTCAAATTTTGTCTAACATAAACTATTTTTCGTGCCCTTTCATTTTTTAATCGATTTCGCTTATTTGTATGCACATTTCCATACGTCGAGAAACTCTTTTCTGTGGCAGCAGTTATTGGTGAACAAATTAAAATTTCTACAGCTATTGTACTTAATTTTGTTGTTAAACAAATAGATTTCCACCATGTAACTGCTGAAAGTTTTTTATCTTTGAGACAACTCCACACGAAGTTATTGGTAAACAACCCTTCTTTTGATTTATAAAATTCAATTTCCATCATGACTGTACCAACATCATTTTCATTTGTCAAAAATGTAGATATTTTGTTTATAAAAGTAAGAGCATCAATATATTCCGACTCCGATACATTTTTTCCCATGAAATACGGATCCAACAAATTTGCTGCAACCTAAACTGGACCAATTGCCATGGTTTTCCTCTTTTCCAACAATTGTAAAAGATCATGTCTGTCATTGTTATGTACAGAGTGTCCAAATTTCGATGGGTTTGCAGGGTATCTCAGTTATTATGAAAGATAGAAAGTTGCCCAGAAATCGTCACTCAAAATACTACATTTAACGGACTTTTCAATTATATCAATCACATTTTCAGAAATAGAAAGTTCTTGCAAACTTGTTTTGTTATGCAAAAGACTATTTAAACTCATGCATATAGATCCCCATCGCGGATCAATAGGTAATTTCAAAGTTTTTATTTCGCTCTTATTTGTAGCATTCTTCTTTTGAATTGTTGAAAGTGTGGAATTCAAAATGTGCGATTTTTTAATAGCTTTAATTATTGATTTGCTCTTCACAGCGAATGAGTCGAATGTTTTAATTTTTAAAATATCATGAATTAGCAGATTCAGAATATACGCTGAACATCCATAACAAGAAAACATACTTGATGGATATTTTTCTGAAAGTAAATTCCAGGTAGCCGTCATGTTCCTAGCATTGTCTGTGACAATCGACATAATTTTTTTCAAACCTACTTCTTCAATTGCTTCGGATGTAATTTTGCACATAAAGACAGCTTCATGACGCGCTGCTCTTGTATCTATTATTTTATACAACACAGGTTCAGGTGTTGTTATTAGAACATTCACAACGGCTTCATTACGAATATTAGACCAGCCATCAATTTGAATACCGATAGTTTTTGCATTTTCAATTTGTTCAGTCACAGACTTTTTAATCTTGTCATATTCAGTATTTAAGAGTTTATTTGATAATTGATACCTCGAGGGAAGATTCAAGGAAGGTGTCATTTTATGCAGGACATCTATCCAATACTTATTTTCCGTGATGCTTAGTGGCGTATTAGTTGCATAACATGCCCTTGCCAACAACTCCCAAATAATTTCCCGCAAATTAAAATAGCATCAAAAAAAAACGTTATATGCATACATAGGCACAACACAGTTTTTACTGATGTCAGTAAATCGAATATGGTGGTATCGTGATCAGAAAAAATTAGGACACGTCGAAAAATCAATCTCTTTTCTATAAAATTTGAATTTGAATTTAACTTTTTGTTTATAACATGTTGTTACTTTATTATAACAATTTTGAAATTATCAAGACAAGAACAGTGCTCACTAGAAAACTAATACTGTGCTAATTTTTTCGACCACAAACAACGACGTCCACGAGTGTGGGTAAAGGTACTAATACTTTCGTTAAGAAACCCCGTTTCTTCGTATTAGTGAACTATACCTTATTTAGTAATTCCTTCCACTAGAGCGGTGCTAGTGGTATTAGTACCAGTTAAAACAAAACTAATTAAATTTTATTACTTACTTCTTCGGCAGAATTTATGGAATCAACAAAAGAATCTATTGTTGATGCACGGCTTCCGCTTCTGCTGTGAAAATCATATTTTTGAACACCTTCGCCGTTCAAATTCTCCTCGTTGCTGTCTGTATCATTAATAGACTCGATCCCAGTCTCAATATCTTCCCTTATTTTTATTTGACTCACACTCACTAGCATTGTAAAAGGAGAAAATAGGTAAATACGTATATTTGTTAAACAGTAATATGATCATAAACAACTATTTCGACTTACGGATTGACTCTCTTCTTTTTAGTATCTCCAGTGCTTTTGAATCTTGGTGAACATTTTTGTACCAAGTGTTGAGACATCCTTGTCACATTCAAGACATAAGATTGTTCACAAAATTTACACTTGTATGTTTTTCTATTAGTTTTTATAAAAGCATCGACTATAATGCTTTTAATTTTATCTTTTCTGCCCATGATCACTTTTTAACAAAGTCACGACACGAGACACTAGACATGATTAACTACGTGCGTTGTGAGTCGACGATACACGTGTTATAACTTGTTCGCTTTCCCACCATTCCACTTAGTTGATATGCCAAGTGTTGTAAAATACGATATTTACCGTAAAAACCCGTAGTTTACTCAAAATAATATCGTTATTTACCTAGTAAATTACGGTAATTTATTGTGTAAATTACTGCAATTAATTTTTGGTATTTTACGATAAATTACTATGGTTATTTTTTTGGAATTTACAAGCTCACATCACTGCTCACGGTTAACCATGGAAACGCTTTGTTAACACTCCACCGCACGCGCCCCTTTTTCATACAACAAAACACGCATGTACTACAATAGTAGAACATTCGCGTCTTATTAGAATCTTTATTTATTTTCCATTTCTGATAATAAAAAGTATTAGATATACTTATAACAACTTTATTTATAGAAATCAAAAGAAAATAAGGTATAGTATGGAGTAAAATAAAATATATCTTCTAGTCAGTCTTCTTCGTTGCACTTTGGACAAATATGACGAAGGTGCGCAGGACAAACCCATTTTCCGCATTTGCTGCAATGTTTCCTTGTACTCTTATTCTTTTGTCTCCCACAATAGAAACATTTTCCAACTGTACTTGTATTTGGTTGAATTTCTGCAAGTATTTCAGGTTCAATGTTTAGCAGCTTTCTTATGTGTTCTTTGATATTAGTAGCTATATTGTCACTTTCCAGCCTCTTCCTTAAAAGTGGAGTAATTAGTTCGTAACCAATGGTTTGTAAGTCCGATTTTCTATCAATTTTGTTTATGCTTTTAGTTTTATATATGCACATGCCGTTAATTGCTGCTATATTAAGCAAATTGAAAAAAATTGTTAAAGGCCAACGTCTCGAATTTCGTGAGACGTCATAGTGACTGCACATTTTATCTAACATATCGACACCGTAATTTGTATTGTTATAGTCGGTAATAATTTCTGGTTTTTTTAGATCTCCTGTGTCATTATCAATTGCACAGTCATGGTGCATAGTCGACAAAAGTAATACCACCTTTTTACGTTTTGGTACATATGACACAAGAGTACACATTTTATGAAAACCAAATAGGGAACTATAAACTTCTCTGTGTGTAGCATTTATAAATTGTGGGGGGATATCTGGTTTATTTTTGCGTAGTGTACCAATTATAGTGGTTTTCATCTGTAGCAAATCAACCGCCAACGGAACACTGGTGAACCAGTTATCCATACTTACATTTCTGCCAGTTCCCGTTATATGCGCAATCATTCTCATAACTAAGTCATAGTTTTTCCAGGAGGTGGAATGTGGACCAGCTGGCTGTTTACCACAATAGATTTCTAGATTACAAGTATAAATACTTTTACAGTCAACAAGCGCAAAAATTTTGATGCCATATTTTGCTGGTTTACTAGGTATGTATGTTCTGAATGGACAATTTCCCCTAAATGCAATAAGTTGTTCATCTAAAGTTAGATATTGTGAAGGAATAAACATACTTTTAAACTTTAAAACAAACATTTCAAAAATTTTGCGAATTGCTGCCAAATTATCAGTCTTCTTTCTTTCATTTCTATCTATTATGTTATCGAACCTGAGACAACGCATCAAAAACCGAAAACGATTAATTCCCATTGTCAAATATATAGCTTCAACCCCCAATCCTTTTGAATTATCCCACATTTGCAAAATATGTTGTCTTCCAGATTGTAATAAACCAGCAAGGTATAAAATACCAATTAAACCTAATACTTCTTCATTATTTGTCAGTTTTGCATCCCGTGCCCGACTATATTTATCCTTTACTTCGTTAATGTATATGTTAGTGTACTTCACAATAAGAGTTATAATTTCCTCATCTAAAAAGCATCTTAGTGTTTCCAACTCCGTTTTACAATTTTTTGCACTACTTTGAGGGCCAGGTACTCGAATCTTAACAATATTATGTGATCGCGTTCGCGAATTAACTGGGCAGTTTTTGTTCCACCTAGTAATTTTGTTTTTCCCATAGAAATAGTTTTGATTTGGTTGTTCTTCATTTTCTTTATCGAAATCCTCTCCTTCCTCTTCCTCCTCTTCTTCTTCCTCTTCAGATGTATGATGATTCTCAATTACGTCGTTTTCGTTCTCGTCTGGCCATTGTTTTTCATCGGAATCACCTTGATCAATAGACAATTCCTCATTTGATTCTTCAAACCAAGCCATAACCTGTCTTTCAAAATTAGGATCTGTAGCCCTAACAGTTTTTCGGTTTGACATGATCATCTAAAAATGTAACATAACGAAAAACCCATAAATAACGCTTAAATTGCATACTTACGCGGTAACAGAATTAGTTACGGGAGAACACGCGTGCTCTACAATCGTAGAAATAACAAAAAAACTCGACGATACACTAGCAACCGCGTTTGAAAACCAACTAAATACGTTAAGGGTGTCATTTTTGAGGAATACACGAAAACAGGCAACTTCTCTTACATGAATGTTGTAAATATTGCGTAACTAAATTCTGCAGTCTACAATAGTAGACGCGCGTGCGGTGGAGTGTTAATTTTAATAATGTCTATTCAAAAATTGCCGCGTAGTGTATCTAAATAGTTTTGGAGTTTTAGCGTTATGAGGTCGAGATGGTTGAGATCGGGTTGTGAGATTTTGATTGGAGAATTGAATTTTTGATAACAATTGCTACCCCTCTGGAGTCGGGTGTGGTCTTTTCTATAGAGGGTGTAACCGGAGAATTTAATTTGATCGGAGGGAATGAGTTTGGTTTCGTTAAGGAGAAGGATATCAATGTCAAATTGGGACAAGAAGTCGGTTATTTCGAGTGTTTTGGGAATGAGGCTGTTATTATTAAATGAACTATTGTTAAGTTATACATTGGAAAGGTTTTGGTATAATGTTTGAGTTGCATGCAAGAGGTTTCCTGGGGATTTGTCGTTAATAATTTGTTTTTAAAGGTTTTTAGGACGTTAATTAGGGCGGAGATGTTAATAAGTCCGTTTATTGCGGCCATCAAGTTGCCGAGTTCGAAAAACTCGGATTGACTCACCTGTCCCCCGCTATGGGGTGCTGAGGGCGCGGGGACGGCGGTCGAGGCGACTGGTCCTTGGAATGATATTGGTTTCCTGGCTATCATAACGTTCCATAGGGTTGTCATGGCGGTTGGCGCGGGCTTGGTTTTTAGGTTCCCGTAGCCTTATGTTTCTACGGGCTTGGGCTTCGGTGTACTTGGGGCACTCCGTTGAGTTGGCCGTGTGGGGGCCTTTGCAATTCGTGCACGACACCGCCAAGTCGTTATCGCAGCTGATTTCGCAGGCGGAAGTTGCGTGATCTCCCGTACATTTGACGCATTTTGGTCGCGTGTAATAATTGGTGGTTTGTTCCCGCATTATTGACAATTTTTACATTGTATATCTAGTTTTTGTATATCGGTACTCCTCTTTACCGATCCATTTATTTCAATCAGCGGTGATGTTGGAATGGTTGGAGTAGTCGTCTATGTGGATGGATATCGGAGGAGAGGTGTCCTTGATTGATTGGGTTGGTTTTTTAGGGATTTGATAGGCGTTGTTTGTATTGGGTTCGATAACTTCTTGAAGTAACGAATATTTGTTGGCGGTGGGAATGGTTGAAATTAATTTTATGGTTGTTGCGGTTGATGTTGATGGGGTAGATTGAGTTTGCGGGGGAATTATGATTTTGGGTAACCACCCAAAATCATGCGAGATTTCTTGTTTTTTGGGGGTTAGGGGTTCATCGTTGTAACTTTCCATTTCGTCGTCGTGATCCATGGACCCAGGATTATCTGATGTTATTGTAGAATCTGAATTTTCTTCATCATCAGTGGATTTTTCAACGAAAATTTTTGTTAATTTATGTTTACTCATTATGGGCCGCGTTTTGTTTGAATTTTTATTACTTACAGTTTTAATCAAACGAATGTTTTATTTAAATCACTAAAGTTATTAAAATTTTTATGAAAGTTAGGTTTCTAATAACACCGGAAGAGTTTCTTTTTAAAAATTAACTTTATTTATTATAACGATCTTAACAAGTCGGAGGTTAAACTAATTCTAATTCCTAACAATGGAAAAGATTTACTAAAAGAAATTAAATTTAATTCTAAGTAAAACATCTGTTTCAGGAATGAACGATGGAATGTCCTTATCATCTCTTTTCCAGAAGCAGAGTATCTTCTTTATAAGTTCTCACGGGAACATGTAGATATAACTCCTCCCCCATTAGATTCAACTCAGAGGGACGGAAGTTGAATATTATTGGAATCGATAACCTGGGATTTCGATTTTTGATGTTTTCTTATTTTTCTATAAATTAAACACACAATGAACAATATTACGATTACATAGATAATGATTGTCCATGCGTTTGGTAATCTTGTAATCCCATTGGCGATGATCCTTGATTTCAGTTCATGAAGTTCATCTAAACCAATATCTTTTATATGTAGATTCAAGTTAAGATAAGGTAATGTCGGATCTGGTGTTTCTTCTAATTCAGGAAATAATATTGATTTCGTTCCATTAGTTGTTTGGACGTTATTTATTATGGTTCTATTGTTGAATGAAATCTTACATCCCATAGGTATTTCGGACAGGTAAGTTCCGTGCATTCTTATGGTTTCATCTTGATAATTACACTCCAATTTTAGGAATTGTGGTATAGGAATTACCCAAATCCATTGGTTGGTGTTGTCTAATTGCTTCACAATTAATTCGGCAATTTTTATTTCTGTTTCTCTGCAATTGTTTGCACGTTTCCCATTTAATAGTTGTAGTTCACAAGGGCTTAATTTTTTACAAATATAAAGTTGTGGAAACATCCGTTTACATGGTTGATTTTTAAATCCAAAATACATTTCATTCTTTATCAAATATTTATCTTTTGAAATCACTGTCTTTAGACGATTCTTACTTAGTATTGGGATGGAATACAGGTGAAAATATTCAAATTGGTATGGATAGGTTATAGGAATGTGTATTAAATACGTTACTCTATTGTTAGAAATGTAACATTCAACTTCAATTAATTTTTCGAAAAACAAGTGTTAACTCCATAGGTAGTTGATTTACGTTAACTTGTTTGGTCAATTGTTTTAATGATCTAAATAAATCAATTACTGTGATTATGCTGGGGTGCATCACTTTTAATTTAGCAAACGTAATTGCATTTTCAACATCCTGCAAAACTGATTGTATCACTTCGTACAAATTTATCATTTGGATCAAAGTATCTTTTATAAACGTAATGTTTCGATCGTATTCAGAATGATTAATTATTAACGAAAGTTGATCGATCTTTGAATCTAATACTTTCTCGTTATGATTAATTTCCATAATTGTTTTATTGAAAAATGCATGGTTGTTTGCATTTATATGCTTTTACACCATACTTGTTGTGGTACCAGCATATTTCATTATTTTTATATCGGGTACACGACCGATCTCGAGAACGATCTCTCGACACAGAACGTTGTCGTTCTCGAGAATATTGCCGAATTCTACAACAATCACAGTGTCCTGTATGTGATGTATTATTTGTTTGTATTTGTGATGTTAAATAATTTATTTTTGTTTCTAAAAGTTTATGTTTATCGAAGTTTGTTTGTTGTTGCGTTTCTACGGTTTTTAGCAATGATTGACATGTGAGTGTCAAATCGTTCATTTTTGTCAGTAGTGTGTCAAAATTAATTTTGTTTTGCGGGTGCGTCGGGAGTGTAGAAGTGATGGTGGTTCTTATTGGATTTGGCTGATAGGGAATTTGAGAAGAAATGGAAGGAGTGTGAGCTATGGCGTCCCAAACTTTATCAGCGATCGAAAGAAGATTGGTAACACCGTCTTTTCCCGAGGATAGGAGGGCTACTGATATAACCTGAGGCAACTTTCTTTTCCACAGTTTAAGTAACAAATTGGGAGTCACGACTTGTGATCCTCCTACCGTGTTTAATAAAGATCGATAGAAGTCGGACGATCGTTGATCTCCAATTTGGGTATCTGATAACAGATCATCCAGACGCTTCTCTTCGCTGGAAGATAACCGTTCTATTAATAGTTTCTTCAGCGAAGAGTAAGGTGCTTCTTCTGGAGGGTTTTGAATAAAATCAATTATTGTTGTAATCGTTTCCGCTGGTAAATTACTTAATAAAATATTGTATTTCGTCTTTTCACTTGTTACGCGGGCTAGTGAAAATTGTGCTTCGACTTGCGCAAACCAAATTTCCGGATTCGCTGTCCAAAATGGCGGAAGTTTTAATTTCAACAAATTTGAAAGTTCGTTGTCACATGTGTCACCGTCGACGGAAATATTATTTAACATGTTGTATTAACCCATTCGTTACCAAGAATTTCTTTTTTGATTTTTCTTTGTTTATTCTATATCATTTGGGAGTAAATATCATGGAAAAAATATTTAAAAAAATATTTTAATTTGCAAAAGTAGAATTTAAACCAGGGTCGTAAACGACCCGCTGGTAACAAACCGCGGAAACATAGTATTTTAGCGTAATGATATACTACGTTGCTATTTTTGTGTTTATGTGATGTGATTAATAACATGTACGTTAGAAACATTATTTATGTGTATTTATACTTAATAGGAACATATTTAATAAACTAAAAATATACAGGTAAGGTAAGGATAACTACAGTAACTATAAAATTAACTTATAACGTTTTGTGAAACTGTTCAAAACATTCTACATGCAACGGTGCATCACATTTTAGGCAAGCTCTTATTGTTTTATTTTTGCAGACTTTACAGCGTCTCCTTCTTTGATCCCCCACTATGATGTGGTTGTTGTGGGTCCTCCTACTCGCATCAGTCACTGGAGCTCTCGTGTTGATGTTACGTGCTGGCGTGCCATATTTTCCAGTAAACTTTTGGTAATAGACCGGCGAAACGCTAGAGCGTCTAGCGTTAGTCCATGGCTGCGTGATAGAATCCAAGCATTACTCATGGAAACACCAAGGAACCATAGAACAATTGGGATATACCACTTCTTGCTTCGTATATTGATGCTGTAAGTTGAAATATTGTTATCCATTAGATCTACGCCACCCATGTACTTATTGTACTGAGTAATAAGGTTTGGTTATGGTACAAATATCTTTTTCCTTTCAACAAATGAATATCTTGCAGCTTTTTGAATTGGTTGTACGCCGTGCTCATTAGAAAGTATATTTACCGTGCTGTTGTCTTTCCATGTTACTGCCAAAAGTCTGGGGCACGTAAAAAAGTTTTCAAAGTAAAAGGAGAATGACACTCCTGGGTACGCTTCAGACATAATATTACAACTATCCATAACTACACTTTCGCCCAACCCTACGCCTCCCCGTTCAGTAGCACTCTTACCTTGATATATGTCAGCATGTAAACAGTACCCATTTGATTGGGCTAATGTCCACGCTTTAAACCCAAAGCGAATTGGTTTTCCTTTTATAAATTGTCGACAACCATGTTGACCAAAGTAAGGTATCATGGATTCATCTACAGATAGAAAACGACTAATTGGACAATTATCAATCTATTCAGAACATTTATAAAATTCCGGATTTTCCCCATTTTGTCGTTCTGTGGCAACTTAAAATTGTTACAAACATGAAAATATTTTAAAATTTCATTGAATCTGTTTCGTCTAATTGACTTAGATACCAAATTATTGTGGACATCATCGGATATTTCCCAATATATGTACTTACGCGGAAGTGGAACATATCCGCTAAGATATAAAACACCCAAAACGACATAAATCTCTTCTTGCGAGACACAAAATTTATCGTCGTTTTTCTGCTTCGCGTATTCGTTAGTTTGAGTCACAATCATATCCACTACTTCCTGTGATATAAAAACTTCCCAAAATTCGATTGGAGAAGAGTCTTTATTCAGAGATGTAACTGATCTGGACACGAAAGAATTTTCACATGGACGTTCTCTAATCGGCAAATCAAAGTTTTTGTTGTTTTCAAAGTTTTTGTGTTTTTAGCAGTTTTTCTTTTTCTTGTTTTAGGGAGTGGCTGAGGGTCATCATCATCATCGGGTATACCATCATCTTCCATTTCACCTCTGTTATCTCTTATTATCAGCTCAGTTTCCGCTTTTAGCTGCATACCAGACAATTTGTCTGGATCACAGCAATCTTCGTCTCCGGAATCAACATCAGTGATATCCCGATTATCATCAGGGGGTGTAATAAAAACATCAGCGGAATTACCGGGTATATCAGAAGCAGTCATAAGCTCCAGTTCCGCAAAAATTTCTGCAACGGTGAGTGGTTTTTTTCTAATGTACGTAAGAAAAAAGAAAAAACACCTTTTGTAACATAAAATAAATAAAAAAAATTCAAATAAAAAGTGATATTTTTATTTTACTTTATATATTATAAATAATCAAAAAATATTCTTACAAAAAAGTGAAAAAAATATAGCACAATGCGAAGAAAAGCAACTAAAACTCAGGAACACTTAAATATGCGGTTCGTGTCCAGTGGGTCGTTTGCAACCCCCGCTATGTTTCGTCGTAAATAGAATAATAACCGATATGAATTTGAAGAATCTGAAACTGTACACGTAATCAGTGAATGTTTCTCTTTCATATTTATATAAGGTTCAGAGAATATACGAAGTTTTTGCCAGTATACTTACCAATAATAGCGAGAGCGCGAAGCCGGGTCTGCCATGTTATTATTTGACGTTGACTATTTACAAAGAAAAATGAAAATATGGCTACTAAAAATTTTGTAATTTTTGGAAGATGAATTGTGAATGTTTGTAGCGACTAGTGATGTAAAGTTTAGTTACTTTTTAGTATTTGTAACTATCAGTTACTTTCAGAAAAAGTATTCGTTACTTTGTACTCGTTACAAGTAATCGTTTGCGCTTGAGGTTCCAGTACTAGTTTGCGCTCGAGGTTCGATTACTCGTTTGCGATAGAGTACTAGTAGTTTTAGTTGGATTTTTGAAAACAAATACTGTACGTATATTATATTGTGTTTGTTACGCTATTATGCACTGTGCACTAATATCAAAAAATAGAGTGTAGATTATGGGATTTACTTTTTCACCGCATATTGAATATAACGAAGAATTTTTCTTAATTATTAATAACTTACGTTTCACTTATTATATAACAAAAATATTTGAAAGTAGTAACACATTAACAATGGAAAACAAAACTTCTTCTATAAACAAGCAATAATAAAATAAAATAAAAATATTAAAAGAACAATAAAAGATATTACAGCTTATTATTGCAATGCAAAAATAAATTTTGTTGCGCATTTCGACTTTTAAGTCGATTTCGCCTATCCAACAATATTTGGCCTTTGGAAAAAGTAACTGTTAGATCCAAAGTAACTGGTACCGATGTGATACGGTAACAGTTACTTCGGATCTCGCGGGGTAACGAGTACTCGTATAACGAATTGTTACTTTTTTTAAAGTAGAAAAGATATTTTGACATTTTGTTGTGAAATTGTCAAATGCTTTTAATACATTCAAGGTTGTCTGTTGTGAACACGGGATGGGAGTCATTGTTGAAGAAGTAGAAGAAGTGGAAGGAAATTCGAGAGTCGGCCGCTGTAAATTCTTATTAGTAGTACTTTGAAAATTTGCTTTAAAATTTTGTTTTTCTAATGAGGAATATCGAAAGAGCTTCCCATATCTTATCGGCCATTGCCAATAAGTCTCTTCTTTCTCCGGTGCTAGGAGAGCTACTGAAATAGACTTTGGCAGTCTATTACGCCACAGTCTGAGAAGCAGATCTGCGCTCACCAGTTGAGAGTCTCCAATGGAGGCTAAAAGCTCTCGATAAAACTCTGAGAGCTTCTGGTCCCCCATGTGTGTGTTGGAGAGTAGATCATTAAGTCGCTTTTCTTCACTTAAGGAAAAACGGCTAATGATCGCTCTCTTTATACACCCGTACGCGTCCTCCGTCGGAATTGTGCTAATTAAATCGATTATAGAATTAATTATCTCTGGCGGAAGATGCGTGACCACCAGATTAAATTTGGTACGATCGTTGGTGATCCTACCAAGGGCAAACTGTGATTCAATTTGCCAGAACCACGTCTCTGGACGTGCAGCCCAAAAGGGAGGTAGTCTCATATTGACTGCCTGCCCCAACGTGGTCTGGCGTTTCTGGTGCTTCATCACTTCTCAACATAACGAATCAAAGAAATAAAGAAAAATTTTGAAACTATTAATAATTCTTGTTTGTTAATGATTTGTTAAAATATTTGGTTGTTCTTTACCTTGTCTTGATTCTTCTTGAAATTTCTTTAACTCTTCTAAAAATTGAGTGGTAGAATAAGGAGTCAAGGTGCAAGGGAAATTAAAGATTCGGATTCCAAATTATTTTCTGTGTTGGGCTTTTCGTCGAGACTCAGACTCCAAATTATTTTATCGTATCGTGTTTTTCGTCGGGGTCACCAATAAAATATAGATTGTTTTAATAGAATGATTATATTCAAATAGCCACTAGCTATATTTTTTGAAAATTAAAAAAAAATATTCTTTTTAGAAGACAATTTTAATATACGTCTTACACGTAGTTACAATCAGACAAGACTGGTTGAAAAACTAAAAATAACAACATTCATTTCTTTAATAAAATTTCCCACGGAAACAAAGAAAAATGAAAACATGGCTACTAAAAATTTTGTAATTTTTGGAAGGTGAATTGTGAATGTTTGTAGCGACGCTACACCTACCAACCGAACTCGGAATGCAGGACCAAATTGGACATGGTGTCTTCAAAATTGATAAAAAAATTTGCAAAATCGACGTCCGGTCTATATAGAACACCAACTGATAGTGACAGTCCCCCACGGCTCACCTCGATCCATAACTATTCAACAAAGGGAAGAACCTCTCTAGAAATGTGGTTAAACTTAAAATCATTTTTTACGTAAATTCCGACGTCACCACCACGTTCAGTAACATCCGAGCCCGAGCGACCAATAAAGAATATAATATAATATATGTCTATAATTCGCAATTGAATAAATTCTATGGTACTCATATTATGAGGCCGATGGAAATTACAAACAAAATTATAATATTATAAAATAAGGTAACTAAATTTACAAGCAAATTATTAATAGAAGTGAAAACAGAAACTGATCCAAGCACGAGGAGAGAAAAGCAGTAACAGAATAGCAATAAGTATAAAATTGAATGAATGAAAAAACAAACAAAAAACAGAAAATGATCGCAAGTAAATAATCAATACACGTGGAATACTACGTTGATGCTGAAAGGCCATTATTTTTTTTTTGCGTTCGCGACCGCAAATTTTTTCTTTTGTCTTCCACCAAAGGCGTCGGATCCCTCATAGCCTTTAGATCATCAAGGTCGCTTTGGAAGGGTATGGTATTTAAACTTGTACCAGCTTTAACAAAAATTCTCCCATCATTAGTCCAGACATTCGTATTACCGAATAATTCTCTAGCTTTTTTAAAAACTTCTAGTTTATTCCTGGATAACGACTCAGTGACCAATCTCTTTGAATTCTTTAAATTCTTTTTATTTTACCATATAATGTGTCAATACCGGTATGAAACAAATTTAACTATAACAGCCCGGTTGACCCCTCCATTCTTTGTATCATGTCGATGGTAGGGGAAAAATTTTGGATTTTCTTAGAAGACATAACCTCAAGGACTTTGCTTTCCAACTTTGCGTCAACCGACTCACCCTTATCATCTTCTCCCTCAATGATTCCGTGAAACACGAGGCAGTTCCGTCTTGAATAATTTTCAAGAATATCAATCTCCTTACTGTTATTTGTAATCAATTTCTTCAGGGTTTCGAAATGTTCTCTCACATATTTCTTAAAACAATTGAACTCCATGACAATCTCCTCGAGTGAATCTGAAGATTGAATTTCAGTACTCGGCTTCGACAACGCCGCAACTTTATCGATTTTGATCTGAAAATCCGCTAATGTTTTGTTTATATTATCGGAGAATTTTTCGAGGTCATTCAGGTTCACCATTTTCGAAAACAATTCACACAAAGAGGTGTAAAACCGGTCCACCCACAACTCACAAAATAACCAATATTTATAGATTTAAAGTTTTGAATTGATTTAAACGTGAGATTAACTCAAATTGCGTTAAAATCACAATCGCGAAACTTTACTAGTTATTTAAAAACTAATTTAAGATTTGAAATGGCTCTATTCCGTGATAATTTTAGACTTTACCCGGACCGAAATTTACACACGTACGGCTAGCCCGCCATCAAAACTAATTTATTGATATCTTCACTATTCATAATCGATTTTCTTATTAAATTCTATAAAATATTTCTTTAATGAAAAACATTCTTTTGAAAAACAACCATGTTTAATATCCCCAGATACCTTATTCCTTCAATGCGCAATACATTACTTGTCCTTAGATTTGCAGTTTCTAACATCATGTTCACCTCCGCAATTCTTGCAGAATTGAACATCTCTGCATTTTTCAGACTTATGTCTGATCCTTAAACATTTAAAACAATGCAGAATCTATCTGTCACCTTCTACTTTGCAGCGGTTCCATCCAACGTTTAAAAAACCACCTTTAATAACATTTCTCAATTTTCTTGCCTTTTAAAAATTCTTTTAATTTTAATATCTTTTTTAAAATCCTTATAAGAATCCTAATAATTCATTTTGTTTAAACAAACAATCCAAAATATTTTCCTCTTTCAACTCGTTACTAATGCCAAAAATAACCATACGTGGTTTAAATTTACTTATTTCTTTGAATTCCGTTTTTCCTATTTTTTCCGTAACTGCCAGTTTTAGCTTATCCACATCGTATATATATACAGATCCCATCTTGTTAGATGTAACCCTTTTCACATTTATTCCTTTATCAACAATATTAACTTTTTTTATAATTTTGTTTTTTAAATTCTCACCTTTATTATTTTCACTAGATTTAAAACATATTACCAGCCCACTCTTATTTACTTCATTAATTTTCATATTTTTAATGTTTCTCTTCGTAGCAGATGCAAAGCTACTAAAAGAATTATTATCCACACTACCGGTACCTTTCTTGACTTCTTCAATTTCCTTCCTTAATTAAGCGGGATAAGCAGAGTAAGTACAGCGATCCGGAGGTTCTTCTGTCGCTGCAACGTCGCTACCCTGACCTCCCCATTATGATCGCTCCACTTATAGTGGGCGCCCGGGGAACTTGGTGCGCGTTGAACCACACCTTAATGTCCAAGCTTCTACAGGCTGTCCCGCAACGATTGTACAATACTGCATCAGCGTATTCTCTGATCGAAAATAAACAAAAAAGAGCCTAATAAACATAGCTCTGAAAATGGACCATTTTCGAGATATTCAAAGATTTAGTTTCATAAGTTGATTGATATTTGTTAACATCATGAATTTTAATTTGTTTTTGTAATAATTAAGTGATTACGAAGAAGAATTTTTGCACATGAAAACATTAATAAAACAACCGATTACCGCATTTTAAGGGAACAGTTGCTCTATCCTTATCATTACAACACCGTTCAAGCTGAGGGCGAAACAAGAGAGATTTTTTGTAGGTGGGATTTTTAATATTCATAATGCGCACGTTTGGAGTGATGAAAATCTAAATGAAAGATGAAAGTATAACACCAAAAATTGTATTGATTTACATTCTGCCTTCTCATGTCCTCTATTAAACATTATTTTTTGCGTCTTCTCCTCGTCAATGTTAGGCCATTGTCTTGCAGCTATTGTTTAGCATTATGTGTTAGCAAGTGTTATTTTGAAGATCTTCTGGCGATTCTCCAGTTGAAACGATGGTGCTGTTATCCACGTAGAGGCAAAGGTTGCCCTGATGCAAAGCATACGGCATATCATTTACATAGATAATAAATAATAAAGGCCCAAGTACTGAACTTTGTGGCACCCTTAACTGAATATCGATCGAATTCGATTTCCTACCATTAATCACTACGATTTGTTTCCTAGCTGTCAAGTAGGAATTTAAAATATCAAAGGCTACGCCACGAGCAATGTGTGATTAACGCTATCAAATGCCTTCGACAGATCGACTCCTACCAATTCTACAAATTTCTTTTCGTCTATCGTTGCTAATATTTTGTTGAGAGTCTCGTATACTGCTATGTCTACGGATGTTTCCTTACGATATCCGTGTTGATATTCCGTAAAAAAATCTCTTTTCTCAAAAAACGTTGAGATTCTATCCGCAATGATACACATATTCAAAAACCTTCGAAATTGCTTAACCCGTCAGTAGTCGCGCCGGGTCTACTAGACCCAGTGAAGCTTTATAAAGCTGTTACAAGCCTATAAATGATTCAACTGTTTTGTATCCTCGGTTATCTTCTTTTATTATTCCAAGCTTAATGATAAACTAGTAGTTGCTGAATAATTCACAAGTAATTTCGACCTACTATAAATATTTAACGTCAGACCCGGCGCGACCAAACTTGATCGTCCTTATGAAACTATTGAAAGTTGTTCATCTGTGCGCGCGCAGTAATATTTTGCGCCTAACCTAACCTAACAAGTTTTAGTTTACCAGTTTCAGTGTTATCAATGCATTATTTTACTAAATTTGTGTGCATGGCATTCTAACGTTCTGAACGCGCTAAATAAACAACCAGGTAAGTACCAATATGTTACAATACATAACGAAAAGCACAGGGCCCATTTTATAGGTATGAATACATACGAGAAGGAGCAAGAACGGCTGTTGCGTCTCTGGGCAGAAGACATTGAAGATGAAAAGACTGAACTACCCGACGATGACGAAGAAGACAACGAAGAAGATGTTGTTGAAGAAAGGGGCGACTCCAATAGCGAAGAAGAGGGCGATAGTAACGACGAACATGTAGATGGAGAATCAAGCCTACAACCGTTTTTTATGGGGAAAGATGGCGTTACGAAATGGAATAAGCAACCTTACGCCCAAAGGGTACGTAAATCAAAATCAAATATTTTACGTGAACTACCTGGAGTAAAAGGAGTTGCAAAATCTGCACTAACACCATTTCAATGTTGGCAACTGTTTTTTGATGATTCTATGCTAACCAGTATTGTAGAAAATACTAATAAATCTATAGAGTCCATATCCAATAATTACGGAAGATCTAGAGATGCCAAGTACACTAACTTAGTTGAAATGAAAGCTCTGATAGGATTGATATACTTAGCAGGTATTCATAAAAGCAGTAGAATGAATACAGAAGACTTATGGAATCGAGATGGAACAGGAATCGACATGTTTTGGATGACAATGTCACTGCAACGTTTTCGGTTTCTTTTACGAGTAATTCGAACCGATGACAAAAATACAAGGGAAGAACGTAAACAGTACGATAAATTGGCTCCTATTCGAGAAATTTTTGATTCATTTGTAAAAAATTGTCAACAACACTATACAATATCCGAATTTACCACAGTTGATGAAAAGCTGGAAGCATTTAGAGGACGTTGTGGCTTTAGACAGTATATACCATCGAAGCCAAGTAAATATGGTATAAAAATTTTCGCTTTAGCAGATGCAAAAACGTACTATACTTTCAACCAAGAAGTATATGTTGGTCAACACCTCCGGGGCCTTACCAAGTGCCTAATGACCCAAAAAATGTAGTATTACGTTTGATTGAACCAATTTCTAAAACAGGCAGGAATGTTACAACCGATAATTGGTTCACCAGTTATTCGTTAGTTGAGGACTTGTGGCAAAATCACAATCTAACACTTGTGGGTACCATAAGGAAAAACAAAAAAGAACTACCTCTTGATTTTGTGAACACAAAAGAACGTCCAGCATTCTCTAGCATGTTTGCTTTTCAAAAAAATAAGACAATCGTGTCTTACATTCCACGTAAACGAAAAAATGTCAACCTCATTTCTAGCATGCATTATGACGATGACATAGATAGCGATACAGGGACAAAAAATAAGCCGGCAATTATTTCGTTTTATAATAAAACAAAATCCGGTGTTGACAAAGTTGACGAACTGTCTGCCAATTACAACTGCGCTCGAAACACAAAGCGATGGCCAATGGTTGTGTTGTACTCACTTTTGAATACAGCAGGTATAAACTCCCACATAATATTCTGTGCAAATAATCCTGCTGTAGATTTGATCAGACGAAAATATTTGCTACATCTAGCACGCGACCTTACCAGTGAACATCAAAAATACAGGGCGACATTGAAAAATTTGCCCCGTGCTGTTCGGCAATACCGACAAGATGCTACTGGAATTCAACAAGATCGACGTGAATGCCCCGTAAGCGGAAAACGGAAACGCTGTGAGGAGTGTGTTGGTTCCGATAGTAAAACAAGCTACTTTTGTAGCGAATGTTTCAAGTATTTATGCCTCAAACACACATGCATTCGTTGCAACACCTGTACCAACAAAAATACTGTCGCTGACAATAAAAACTCTGATTATGATACAGATTAATTTATTATCAAGTTTTTTATATAAAAATTATTTGTAATCAATAAATTTTTTATTTATGTGTATAATTATTTATAGCTGCATTATTCAACAATATTCAAACCATAAAAAGATATTCTACTTTTAAAATTCTGTAAATACGAGTATTGGGTCTACTAGACCCAGCGCGACCACATTTTCGTATAACTAACGCGCGACTACCGTCGGGTTAAATGTGAAAGATGGAGCAGTGATGATAGTGGCTGTAGATCCAACTGATAGATCAATGGAAAAAGGAATACAAAGAAAATTTAAAATGAGATTTCCAGAGTTGGATGACATAAAAAAGGATATGGGAGTGATTGAACAAGATTATAAGATCAAAATTAAGGGACAAATGGAGAAAAAAAGTAAAAAAATATTAAATTTTTCTATAATGATATGGAAAAAGCTCTTTTTGAAAATATTAAAATTTTGAAATAAGAAACAAAAGATGACAAATTGATTGTTATGCATAAAATAAAGTGTGGATACATAAAGTGTGGATACAGAAAAACTGGCCAAAATGATGGAGTGTGTCTTTTACGCATCTGATACAAAGGTTGTGGTATATACTGAAGAATTAGAAGAAGAAAAACTAAAAGAGCAACAACGAAAAACGTATGCTTTAGTTGTGGAAGGAGGAGGGAAAAATTTTGCGGAAACATTGAAAGAAGTTAAAGGTACCTTAGATAAAGAGAATATTAAGGAAGGAATAATAACCATTAAAAGTACAAAAAATGGAAAGTTATTAATTACGATGGAAAAGGAAGGTGACACCTTAAATAGAGTAAGCCAAGCGATAAGAGAAAATGGGGAAAATATGTTTTGTAAAAAATTAGAGGAGGATGACAATGAAATTATCCATATAAGAAGTATGGATGCCTTGGTTAAAAAGGAAGATGTTAAAGAAGCAATTGTTTCTGTTTTGGGAGCTGGTAAACATTACCTAAAAATAGGAGAATTTTGAGGGAAGAAACTAAAGCAGTTACAATTAAATTGAATAAAAAAAGTGCTGAGATCTTACTTAAAAATAAAAAAATAAGAATTGGTTTTACAATTTGTGAACTAGAAAAAAGAATAGATATGCAGAAATGCTATAAATGTTGGGGATATGGTCATTTAATAAAAAATTGTACCGGTCCACACAGAAGAGACTTATGTTTTAAATGTGGCAAAAAGGGACATGGGGCTGACAAATGCTTAATCCAAGAATTTTGTCCAATTTGTATACAAGAAGGACATAAAGCTGGTACTGGGAGATGTGTTGAGTTTAAGACTGTATTAAATAAATTTAGGAAGGTGAACAGGCAGATGCGGATGAAAGGAGAAAAAGAAAGGGGAGCTATGGAAAACGATTTGATTTAAACATAAGTTATAGCAAAATTATTAAATGAATATATTACAAGTAAATGTTAATAGAGGGGTTGAAGCATGAATTTAATAGATAAGTGTATTGAAGAAATGGGGATCGATATTGTTGTTGTGTCAGAACTCAAAGAGGGGTCTAGATGGTTCACGGATAAAGTTTGTGATGTGGCAATAAATTTAGTTAATAGTGAAATAAAAGTTTATAAATGGGAAGAAGGGCCTGGGTTTGTGGCGATAAAGACTAATATAGGTTTGTGGATTGGATGCTATTTGACACCTAATGAATCATTAGTAGAATTTGAGGAAAAATTAAAGAAAATTGCTATGGTGTAGTAGATGGGAACAACGGAGAAAAGATTTTTATTATGGGAGATTTTAATGCTAAATCAGCCTTATGGGGTTCAAAAAAAAGGACGCAAGAGGGAAAATATTGTGTGAATGGATAATTGAGCAAAACATGGCAATTGCCAACAGGGGTAATAAACCTACATGAAAAAGAGGAAATCAGGAGTCAAACATAGATATAACGATGTGCAAAGTTGACATAATTAATTGGATTGAAAACTGGGAAATTTTGGAAGAGGAAAATCTTAGTGATCATGCTACTATTAAATTTGAAGTCAAAATTAGGAATGCACGGCAGAGTGAAGAAATATTTCAAGAAAAGAGGTAGTTTCGGAAGGTAGGATTAGTGAAAGAATTTCAAAAATGTTTAATGTCCTGTTGGAACAGGGAATTTTTCCTGATATTTGGAAAACAGGGAAGTTAATGTTCATTGAGAAAACCAAAAAAAAAAAAAAGCAAATACAGCCTACAGATCCCTTGGTTTATTTAATTGTTTTGGAAAATTATATGAAGTCATTTTGAAAGAAAGGATAGTAGAAGAACTAATGGAAAAAGAAGGAATATCAGATAATCAATATGGCTTTACAAAAGGAAAATCAACAGTGCATGCGATTGAAGAAGTTTTAAATGCAGCTCGAAATACAGATAAATTTAGGAGGGGTAAAAGGAAATTATGCTGTTTAATAACATTAGATGTGAGAAATGCGCTTGGTTCTGCTCCATGGGAACAGATAATTAGATACATGGAAGAAAAAGAAATATCTGTTCAATTAATTAACTGTATTAAAGACTATCTTAGAGAGCGATATGTTATTTGTAATAATGCCAGTTTCCAGATGACTAGAGGTGTCCTCAGGGCTCTGTTTTGAGTCCACTACTTTGGAATATTTTTTTTAATCAAATTTTAAATGATATGCAAATTAAAGACGTTAAGTTAGTGGCATATGCAGATGATTTGGCCATTGCACATCGCGTTATTAAAGTAATTATAGATAAATTGTAGTTTATGGGTTTATTCGAAGAAGACGCTTTGAAGAAGAGCCAGTGGAAACCAAAACTATGGCTCCGATATGTGGATGACTCGTTTGTGATATGGTAACATGATCAAAAACGGCTCCAAAAGTTCTTGGATCACTTGAACTCTCAACATCCTATGATTAAGTTTACCAAGGAAACAAAAACTGCCGAAAAAACTACCTTTCCTAGATGTGTTGGTTACCAGGACGACAAATGGATATATGGAACTTGGTGTATATCGGAAGAAGACCCATACCAACAGGTACTTGCAGGCATCATCACCCCCAACAGAAGAGGTCCGTGATCCGAACTTTATGTCAGCGAGCAGCGAGAATATGTGAAGGAGATAACTTGAAGATGGAGCAACACTTCCTACGAGGCGTGCTGCAGAAGAACGGATACACTTCGATGGACATCAACCGGGCCATCAAGCAGCGAAATCAGAGGGAGGGTGCGGTAAGTACAAAACCACTTGGATTTATCTGTCTTCCCTATGTTTTAGGTGTAACAGAAGGAATTGCCAGGCACCTCAAGAAAAACGACATCATAGTGCGGTACGAGACGTTCAGCAAAATTCGGAACACACTCCCAATAGCCAAGGACAAACTAACTTCATTAAAAGGAGCAGGAGTCTACCGACTATCGTGTAGTTGTGGGAAGGTTTACGTTGGCCAAACTGAACGTAAAGTCGAGTGTCGCGTCAAGGAGCATGAAAGGGATGTAAGGTTGAGGAAGATCCAGGAGTCGGCGGTTGCAGAACATTGCCATGCAGAGGGACACCGAATAGACATCGAACAAACAAAGGTGGTGGCCAGGGACAACAGATATTACCATAGACTGACAAGAGAAGCCATAGAGATCTATCGACATAGAAATAACATCAACAGAGAAGATGGCTGGGAGCTTAGCAGACCATGGAAGATGGTGGTAAACACGAAGACCTCCTCCCGCCTCACACCGGACGCGACGCAATTAGTTAATAATTAGCTTGTAGTTGTGGGAGAAAATAAAACACGCACATACAATAAATCGATATTTAGTTCTTTACTATAACCTCAAAAATACACCACTTTTGGTTAAAAATCAAAGTCTCTCTCTCACTGCTAGTTACACACTGCTAACTCTCACATGCAACACTCGCATTCCCTCTTCCTACTTCGTAACCGGTACTTAGGGGAATTTGATCCTAAAGATCGGCCATTCCTAATTTGGGAATCGCCCTCGATCCCATTTTGATCTTTTTCTAAGTCGTTCGTTTTCGTTCCATTGTTTTCTTGTTCACTTTCATCTTGATCTTCATTGCTTCTTCCCTCTTCATTTTGAGATAACGCATAAATCTGATTTCCATTTAGTTCTACTGTTTGGCCTTCTTCTTCTGATGTGACTTCATCCAAATAGTCCTTCCATGGTTTCATGAAATTCACA